ACACTAACACACACACACACACACACACACACACACACACATAAAATAAATAAATAAATCTTAGGAGAAGTGTGACTAATTATAAGTGAATATTTAATTTGCATACTTCTTCCACACGCCTACTGTGAAGGTTCATATTGTCTTCTTGTCAGGATCTAGAATCACCTATGAGACAAACCTCTGGGCATGTCTATAAGGAGTTTTAGATTGGGTTAATTGATGTCAGAAGACCCATCCTAAATGTGGGTGACACTGTTCCAGGGGCAAAGGTGCCTGACTGAATAGAGAAGGGGAGCTAAGAACCAGTTCATCTCTGCTTCCCGCCTGCAGATGCAATGTGAACAGATGTTTCATGCTTCTAATGCCATGCCATCCCTGCCATGATGGACTGAACTCTCAAACTGTAAGCCAAAACAGACATCTCCTTTCTTAAGCTGCTTTTGTCAGGTATTTGTTAAAGCAATGAGGAAAAGTCACAAATACATCTAGAGATGTGGGGTCCTGGCACAACAGGATTATAAGTATAAAATGTTTGAAGAGCCCTGCCTCTAGATGTTGCCATTTGAGTGCAAACATGAGCAATCTACCCCCTCCCCTCAAATACAGGGTCTTACTTTGAATCCCTAGCAGGCCTGGACTGTGCAGACCAGGGTAGCCTCTACCTTGTATTGCTCCTCCTTGCCTATGATCCCAAATGCTGGGATTACAGTACATTCTATTATGCCTTTCCCTTGCATTCTTAGCTAACCACAGACATGTTCTTGGTATAAACGGATGTCAGAGAACATAAACCTTTTATGGTGTAACTAAGAAATATGTATCCTTAGAAAAATCACTATATTACACTTTCCCATGATTAATAAAATTTTCAAAGATACTAGACAAATATGTACTAAATCTCTTGTATGTGTATTGCATGTATGAATTAGTACAAATCAACTGCATTAGCCAATAAATTCAATCAACATTTATTAAAAACTCCTCCTTCAAATCCCATTGAAGTGACTGAAAATTCAGACAGACAATTTAGAATTCTACAGCAGCATGGGAAAAAGACAAGAACTTGTCAGAAAAGCATATAGCTAACAAGTTTGGGGGATGTCTAAAAGAGAAGCAAGCTGACAGAAAGGGGGCTACCATCCCTGTAGTCTGTATCAACATGGGCAAAAGATGGTCATTTTTATTACAAAAGTGAATGGATTCTCCAAAAACACCCAGCAAAACCACCAGGTCAGAAAAACAGCAGCTGAGTTCAGGAGCAGATATGCATCGAGTCAGTGGGAACTGAGCACTGAGAATGTCACTTTTCAACCGGTAGAACTGCTTGAATAATCAGGCTGGGAACTTGCTGCAACTGGCTCTGAAGAAAAAAGGCAGAGAACAGTGGAGAGATGAAGGATAAGCAACAGGCTAGTTTGTTAACTCTGGGCTAAAAAGGGATAAAAGTACTGTCAACCACTTCCAGAGGCAAAAAATAAGTAAAAGAAATAGAACAATGGGGAGAAACCCACAATGTACCTACCATTCCTGATAACCAGGAAGGTATTCACACCAAGAACATTAAATCTTAAGTGTAAGTTGGTTCATTTAAACCAGACATTGTACACTGACCACCAGTGTGATTGTAAATGGCTATAGGTGGATATGAGAAACAGCCCTCTCAACTTCGCAGTGTGATTTGACATACAAGGAGGGCTTGTCTTCTGATCCAAAATCTATTAAAGTCTTTTCTAGAGTGGAATTCTAAAGGGAGCCCACTCTACTGGCCCATAAGAGTCATTATAGGGATAAGAACACATACTGTTTTTGCAGAGGGTCCAAGTCTGAACTGGCCCAAGCCCAGCACCCATGTTGAGTGGCTTACAACCATCACTAACTCCATTTCCAAGGGGATCCAGTGCCTCTGGTCTTCTTAAGAACTTGCACTCATGTGCATATATGTACACATATATAATTTTTAAAATTTCTTAAAAAAAGAATTTGCTAAAAAGATTTCAAAGTCATCCTTGGCTGTAGTGAATCTAAGACCAAGCTGGGCTACATGACACCCTGTCTCTACAAACACACCAAAAAAAAAAAATGTACAGGGATTGTAGTTTAACTTAAAATAAAACAAAAAGCTCAAGCCAGGCATGGTAGTGCATACCTTTAATTACAGCACTTGGGAGGCAAAGGCAGGCATATCTCTGTGAGTTCAAGGTTAGTCTGGCCTATGTAGTGAGTTCCAGGACAGCTAGAGCTACAATAGTGAGACCCTGTCTGGAAAACAAAAACCAAACCAAACTGATCCAAACCAAACCAAAACCTCAGTAAAATATATTTAACACGGGAAACAAATGTTTTAAGCTCTAAAACCAAACCAGTAGATTAAAGAATAAACTGAAGGCAAACAAGCTACTTTCCCTTATTCTTTTTAAAATGCTAAAAGTGATTGCTTTTTTGGTTCCTAAGAGTGAACACTGGATGCTCATGTCATTGCATGACATGTGACTCTCACAAACCTGGTTAGGATGATGGCACATTACCTGTCTGACATGAAAAAGGGGGGGGGGAGATTAAAACATTGCATTGAGTTTATTTACATAAGTAAAGAGCTACAGCATGATCCTAAGGACTAGTTTAAGAATCTAACTAGTATTGACCAAGATAACCAGTCAATCTATACATTAGCTTTCATCTTATATTGTTTTAAAGTTGGGAATGATACAGGGTAGCTATACCTCAAATTTTCCAATGAAAATCAACTGATGTATCTTAAAAAAATGAGAGTCTATGTGTTAGTATTCAGGCATCTGTACTGGGCTGTCCTTGGGGATCTGACAGGATACACCCTCAGTTGCAGTCACTGAGAGCACCAATTGTGTACATTCACTACATTTCCTTTTAAAAGGACCCTCCCCCCCCTTTCTCTTCTACCACTCTTGTCCCCAGGGACTGGTCTCTGCCCCCCTTCTCTGCCCCTTCTATCTCCTCTTGCAATAAACCTCCCATCAGTCCTGTTGTGTGGTATGACTTCTCCTTGTGCCATTTAAAAAATTACAACACTATGGATATATAACTACTGAATAACTTGATATATATGCACATATTATATATATGAAACAGTTCTCTCTCCTGAATTCTAGTTCCTTTCCCCTTGGGGTTCTTACTCTTTCTTCATACAGAAAATATTTAAAACAAACTCCTCGCTCAGTCACTGCATTCTGCACACTCCTACTCGACAACTCAGGTTCAAAACCTTTGTGTTAACCATGATACTTCCTTTTTTCTTGCCACCTGCAAGCAAGTTCAGGCAGAACACTACTACCTAATATGCAGAGAATAACAACACATCATCTCCTTTTCTCAAGGACCTTTCAAAAAAGTTCTGTACTGTAATAGTTAGGTGTGGTGGCTCACATCTGAAATCCCAGCACTAGGCAAACTGAAGAAGGAGAATTATATTGAGTTCAAGTCCAGTTTGGGGCACATAGTGACTTACAGGGCTATTGTGCAAGACTTTGTCTTAAAAGAAACGAGAAGAATCTATACTTAAAAAAATGTTAGAAGAAACACACAAATAACCAGGCACAGACATGGCACCATGAGAAATGTCCAAGTTGTTAAGGTGAAATCACTTTGGTTTTATAAAGATGTCAATTGAAGATGTCTGCCAGATGGGCAGGATGCAGATAAAATAGGGGCCAGAATGAACATGAGGGATTTGTAGCTTGAGGAAACATAAGCAAAATCTCCAAGATAAGAAGAGAGTTGTACTTAGGACACAGTAACGAAGTGGGGCTATAATACAGAGCTCTGTAAGGAGAAAATGGGACCTAGAATGGAAGGGAAAGTGGAGCCACACTCATAACTGCTAAGTGCCTTTTGTTTTATGGATGCAGACATACTCATGGTTTCTGTCTAAGTACACATGCATTAATTAAAGGCCAGGATTGGCTTTATGGGCAAGTCCTGTAACTCTTCCATCTCTCTGCAGGGTGAATAACTGCACTTATATAAGGATATTGTGAGGATTAAATTAGTTAACACAGGTAAAGTCTGGAACAGTATCTGTCACAAAGTGCTATGCTAAGTATTTACTATGATTACACTCATACTCTGAAAAGATATTTAGCAGCATTGTAGAGAAATAGACTATAATGGAAATTCTTTGCTGTACCTCCTTTATTCATGCAGTTCCACCTCCAAGGACAAGCAGTGCAGAAGACCTCCTGATTATTTAAATACTCATTATTAAATGTATCACATTTATCAAAATCGACTTCCTTTTTGACCATCTGGTCTATTTTATCTCTAAGGAGTACAGGTACTTCAAAGATAAATATGTTTTTCCATGTACTTAAATATAATCCTTCTGAATAGAAGCTGGAGAGATGGCTCAGTGGTTGAGAGCACCTGTTGTTCGTTCAGTTCCCAGCACTCACATGGTGGCTCACAACACTCCAACTCCAGTTCCAGTGTATCTGGAATCCTCTATAGGCACTAGCCATGCAAGTGGTGCACATATAAAGATGCAAGCAAAACATTTCCAACCTCTAGAGGCACTAGCCATGCAAGTGGTGCACATATAAAGATGCAAGCAAAACATTCATATGCATCAAATAATTAAATCCAAAAAAATTCAGGACCGGAGAGATGGCTCAGTGATTAAGAACAACACTGGCTGCTTTTTGAGAGGGCCTAGGTTTGACTCTCAGTCCCTAAATGGCAGTTCACAGCCAGATGTAACTCTAGTTCTAGGGGATCCACCACCCTGTTCTGGCCTCCACAAAGACCAGACACAGAGAAGGTACACAGATATACAAGCAGGCAAAATACCCATACACATAGAATAATTGAAATATTTCTAAATTAAAAAATCCTTCTGACTATTCAGTACAAGTTCCTTTGGAACCACAAACACTTCAATATCCTTTGTTGTGAGAACGGAAATAAGCCCAGTGACTTAGGGAATACACATGGGAACAGCAAGGAACATTCATGGTAAGATACATATCTGCTTTATCAAAATGATGGAAATTTATAAAGGAAATGGTTACATGTTAGATAATCTAAGAGGGGTTTGAGAATTGCTATTGTAAGTTAGTGAACTGATTAATATAGTGATCTGAACATGGTCTATTTTTAAAGAGAACTTCTATCATAATAGGTGGAAGCAGACCCAATGATGATACAGGTTTATTGCAAACAAAGAGCTAGTAATAAATTGCTCTTCCATTTTCTTATTTGAGTCATACAACTATATTTTTCTGTACTCCTGTTAAATCTCTGACTATAGGATAGGGTCCTTATTTGAACAGATCTATATTAAAAGTCAGCAGCTGCCTTTCTTCTCAATATATACAGCAGCAATTGTCAAAATGCCAAATGTGACATTTTATTTATAGCTGAGTCACATAAAAAAAAAAGTGCAGCACGTTTCTAATTAAAAATAAATCAATTAAACAAGTAATTCAAAGAAATGTCTACCTTAAAACTGCACTGGAGTCATACACTGAAACTTTCTTTTCTTTTCTTTTTTTTTTTTTTTTTTTTTTTTTTTTTTAGTTTTTCAAGATAGTTTCTCTGTGGCTTTGGAGGCTGTCCTGGAACTAGCTCTTGTAGACCAGGCTGGTCTCGAACTCACAGAGATCTTCCTGCCTCTGCCTCCTGAGTGCTGGGATTAAAGGCATGCGCCACCACCGCCCGGCCACTGAAACTTTCTTTACAGAAGCAAATCAGACATGCTGGTTGTTGCACATTCACAGACACGTGTACAAACACAGACTCTTCTGTCAATTCTGAAGTAGCCAGTTTCAGAGGAACAGCATATTCTACTTGCTCAGTGAAAAGCTTGCAAGTACTCAGTGTAACTTACTGTTACCAACAGAGCACACAGCAAGACTGGTACAGGGACATTACTGAAAAGTGGCTCCTAGCTAGGCACTTCTTTAGTAGACTATGGTCAAAACATGAAATTGTTGTTTCTGTAATTATTAAGCTTTTTCAGGACTAGCTGCTTAGCAGGACAAGGAAATTCTAGGGAGTTCTTAAGAAACAAACAAAAAAATACCAGTAAGCGCAAGTTTGAAAGAAAACATTTTTATAATCAAAGCATCATGAGCAGAGACACCTACATGTATGAGTATGAAATGACACCTACATGTATGAGTATGAAATGACACCTATATGTATAAGTATGAAATGACACCTACATGTATGAGTATGAAATGACACCTACATGCTATCACTGCACCACCTGAGATCCTGGGGAACAGAGGGGAGTAGGTTACTTGATGAAATAACTATTTCACAAACGAGAGCATTTCACTATATGCCCAAATGTCCTCCATAATGTTATATATGATGCCCACTGGTTAAGTATATGCAGTGAAGTGTGGGGAAAGTAAATTCATATTTGTATTACAAAAGCTGTGGACATCCAAAGAAATTCTAAAAGATCTATCTCTGTCAGAGTGATGGCCACACTGTAATCCAGCACCTGGGAGGTCATCCTCAGCTTGGAATGCATGAGACCTTTTCTTTAAAAAGACAACAAAAACCCTGCAATCTGTCTAAAAATAGTAACATGGCTAACAGTGACAATGGGATGTGACTATGCTTCTTTGCTCCAAACCTGTGCATTCTTCCTATGATGCTTGGCTGCCTCTCACTTAGAAAATTCTTTACTCTGTTCCAGATACACATAAACCCAAGGCACTCTTGGTTTGGGTACTTACATGTGTCCCATTAAGTTTATACTGCCACTATACTTACTGTGTAGTCCTTCTACCCAGATTGGACCCAGCTGGGTTTCAAGAATGTTCAACTATAGACACTCTATGCTGTCTTAAATCTCTTTTTGGAACAAGGCATAAGTAAACAAATAAGACAGACAATACAAAAGAGAAACCCTCAAAAAGCTAGGTGTTTTGGCTTCTATGTAATAGTACTAACTATGACTACTATCCAGGTGTTTGCTGTGTATCAGACCATGTGCTAAGCCCTCACATGCTGCATTTTTTCTTAACAGTCATCTTCTGAGACAGGTGGTGGCACACACCTTTAATCCAGAACTTGGGAGGCAGAAGCAAGTGGATCTCTGAGTTTGAGGCCAGCCTGGTCCATAGAGCAAGTTCCAGGATAGCCAGGGCTGTTACACAGAGAAACTCTGTCTTGAAAAACAAAACAAAAGTCATCTTTTGAACTAACTGTATCATCTCTATTTTACAGCTGAGAGATATTGCATGCCTCAAATTCAAGAATCAAAACCTAAATCTGTCAGCCTCCAAATCTTACTGAGCCATCTCACTACTCGGTGGCTCTAAAATAAACCCTCATTTATCAGGCAATGAGTCAAACAATGACACTGGTTTGGTCACTCTATGCTAAACAGTGGAGGACTGATGTTTGTGACTACTATTAAGAGGGACCATGACAGGCACCACCAACCTAATGAACACACTGCCAGCTATCACTTGGTGATTTCCTTTCCTGAATTTCTTCTTTTAATGATTTCTAGTTATTTCTGCTTTCTGTCCATGCTCTTAGTGCCATTTCTTGCTACAAAACTTTCAGGCCTATTATACTGAGTCTCTAGTTACATATCTTTTGAATACTGATAAAAAATGAATTCTGGAAGACCATAAAGGAAAATCAATGCTGTTTACACTGTGAAATTCAGTATCAAATGATTTAAAGTGTTGAGTATATCCTGTGAATATTATAAAAGACCTGTCTTTACTTTTAAAAAGAACACCGGTGGACTATTTTATCATTACAGAATTTTCTTCTATCAACTGATGAATGGGTAAATGTAATTTATTGCTATAATGGAATATTACTCACTAACAAAAAGTATTTTAAAAGTCCAATACGGATGAACTTTGAAAATATAAATGAAAATGCCAATCACAAAATTCTACTTATCTAAAAGACCCAGAACCTGTATCTCTCTAGGCAGAAAGATTAGTGGCTGCTTAAGCTCAGGGCAATGACTTAGAGAGGTAAGCGTGCTTTTTGGACTAATGAAAACATTCTAAAATAGATGTGGTAATGCTGGAGACTTATGGAGAAATAGTATGGTTGCTCTTTAAAGCAGAGAACCCATCTGTAGCTTCTGCTCTCTTGGTACTCAGACCTTGTCTCTCTTGACAAGTCCCCATGGGACTGATGGGACAAGTTCTGAGTAGGCTGGCTTCAGCTATGCTGTCACAGAGCTGTTTCATGCCACATGTCTGTGAACACTGGAGTTACTTTGCTGTTATTATTCAGGAATAACTTCCCCGTACTTAATAAGTGAGTCTGCTTAGGTAGATGCATTTTAATGTTTTAAAACAGTACATAGGCCAGGACCTACACGCTAATGCTGCACCAGTCTCAGGGAACTGTCTATCATGTCACAGTCACCTAGGTGAGACTTAACTACTTCTTTTGGGGAAGATGGGAAGAACCAGAAGGAAAATGATACCTTTTTTCCCTAAGTATCTCCCAGTCTTTAGACTTAAGAAAAAAGGAAACATCCTCATGAAATGTTGGGACATTTTCTGCAAGTTTCTATCCATGAAAGATAGGGGCAGTAGGGAGGGCAGGAAGAAGGGACTGTGACTTCATCTGTTAGCATAAGAGACAAAACCAGGCATACGTAGCCCAGACTTTTGCATGTGAAAACACCTCCATTCTTTCCCTCCAGTGGTCCTGCAGGCACAGGTTCCCACTTCAGCTTAGGACTGGAGAGTTAAGTATACATTTTTGGGATCCAGTAGTAGGAAAGTTCTTGTCCCAAATAAGCCACTCTTCAATTCTTTACAAGTACTAACATCACATTTTAGCTCCTAATTATTTCCCCCTCAATTAATTTAAAATAGGAACAGGGATAAAACTGGCACATGTCATATAATCCCAGTAACCATGATGCAGAGGCAGGACAGTGGGCTGATCTGGCAGGGCTGCACAGTGAATGTGATAATCTTAGAAACAGCATGGTCTGGTCTGTGAAGGTATTTCCAGAAAGGACAGACGCTCCTCAGAGAAGGTAATACCTGGAGGACAGTCTCCATTTAGACATGTCAGAGGAAAACAGTATGTCGCCTGCTTGCCTTGCTTCTTGCCACTGTCTATCCTGTTGTTGCTGCTTGCCATGGGAATCCAGTCTTGGGCCTTGTAGATGTTTGGACACAGTCTGGGCTGCTGAGGCATCTACTCCTGGAGCAGCTTCTCAGCCTCTCCACCATGTAAATGACCACTGATGAACACACAGTCCTGTCGGTTGAAGTCAGTCTAGGACATCCTCTCTTATATATATGTGTACACACACACACACACACACACACACAAACACACACATGAGTTTTGGTTCTGCCTCTTTAGAGAACGTTCACTCATACAATAATCTCAGGGCCAGCCTAAAATGGATCCTGTCTCAAAAACCAGAAAGTGTATCAGGGATGAGGGTACCGATGTCTGAGGTACTCCTTCTTCCCCGTGCCTTCAAGTGCCAACATCCATCTGAACAGAAAGAAGAATGGAAGGCCTTCAGGAGCAAATGCAGTAGCCTTTCCTTACACGCCCACTCTAGACTCTGGTTGGAGGTAGAGAAGAAGCCCCAGTAGCCGTTACAGAGAACAGTGTTTAGGGAAGTCACTGAAATGCTTGCTGTAGAGGGATGATACCTCCACACAGGGATCTAGAAATCTGAAATAACTATTGAGCATGCAAAATCTTACAGCATTATTATTATTTTTTTTTGCCACACAAAAGTTTGTTTCTTTAGGGACAAAAGGAAAAAGTGACAGTGAAGTGAAGAAGTATCTATGAAGTCCAAAGCCAACATTGGAAGACTGAAATTCAAATCTGCCCCTGTCCTATTCTATAATCTGGTAAAAATTTGAATCCCTAAAAAATTTAACTTAATTTAAATCTCATTTAAGACAAATGAAAACTGAAGGCAACACTTGAAAGAGCAGATTCCTTCTCAGTACTCAAACTTGGCCTCCTGCATACCAGGCAAGTGTACTACACTACCACAGCCCCAGCAAAGTTTTCTTAAAAAGAACCCTGAAAACAGTGACACTCACATGTCATATACAATACTGAAAAACAGGGAATGTGGAAATGGCAATTTCACATCAGCCAAATGCACTACATAAGCAATACCGCTATTACTGCTGAGTCCACTTGCCAGTGGGAATCTGCCCTCCACAGACAGAATATGTAACCGTGTCATTATATCTACCCAGCACTAAACATTCCTGGGTTGTACTAATGGGCACTGCTAAGGGTCCTTCTTGAAGTGCTTTCCCCAGGCATTTTCCTTTGCACACACTGTTTCATTATATCTGCAGAAGCCACAGCTATCAGAACAAATGCTGGAAAGGTTCCCACAGCTAAGTAAAAATACACAGAATGCATACAAATATACAAAATACCCTTTCTGTATTGCACCAGCACAACAAAAACAAACTTAAAACTCTGCCACTCAAACATGTGGCCCCAATCTTCAAGTAACCCAGTTTCTCAGCAGGGGTTTTGTGTATGACACAGACACTAAGGGCACCAAATGGATGAGAAATGGAGCAAGAGGCACAGTACAGACTGATAGAGAAAGACAAGAAAAAGAAAGCAAGAGGGAAGACACCTAACTCTAAGCTCAGGTATGTTACTCTTGATGCTTACATATTTCCAATAACATCTAGTGAAGTCATTTCCCACAGTAAGAGTTTAAGGCTTACTGAAAAACAGCAACACAAATGTCAGGTACCATTTTTGTTTGTTTTTGATTTTTCAAGACAGGGTTTCTCTGTGTAGCATTTGCTGTCATAGAACTCCTCTGTAGACCAGGCTGACCTTGAACTCATAGAGATCTGCCTGCCTTTGACTCCTAAGTGCTGTGATTAAAGGAGTGCAGTACCATCACCAGTCCATGCACCATTTTTAATCCTTCTTGTGAATTAATGCATTTACCATCACTAGAAGCCAAGGAGGTAGCTACTGTCTTTGTTTTACAGAGGAGGAAGCAGACATGGAAAGGCTACAGGACTTGAGCCAATGCCACAATGCCAGCAAATGATGGTACTTGGATCTGAACCCTGAGCTTTTCCTTAGTTCACTACAGTGGTTTTCAGACTACATTGTGCAGATTGCTTTAGTTCTAAGAGTTCTGCTGTAGATGCATTTTTAAAAATCATTTAAAATTTGCAATAAGATGGCTGGAGAGATGGCTCAGCAGTTAAGAGCACTGGCTGCTCTTCCAAAGGACCCTGATCTGATTCCCAGCATCCACAACCATCTGTTCCTTCAGACTCAGGGCATCTGACAACCTCTTCTGGCCACATCCAGTACCGGGCATATACATATACATGTAGGCAAAATACCCATAGACATAAAGTAAAATAAATTTTGAAAAATACTCTAATAAAACACCACAACCAAGATTAATATAGACTGGATATGGTACATTGAAGGGAAATTGCTCATTTTTGCTACCAAGTGAAGTCGCTCTTGTGGAGACCTTGGAATGAGGCCAGTCCTACCACCCCCCACATCCTAGTTGTACTTCTTGTAACTGTTTTGATTTGAAAAGATGTAACTATTGTTTTTAAATTTTTTTTGTTTTCGTTTTGTGTTTAAACCTAAGACAACATCTAACTGTCTGCTCAGGTAAAACTGCAAACTGAGTATCCAGATGAATATCCAGTTCAAGTGCACCTTGCCAGAGAGCACACACTCAACAGAGGAGGCCTTTAGTCCATTCCCTCTCACCCTCCTCCCCAGCTGCCCACTAAACCCAGGATCTCACACACAAGGCAGGTGCTTAACAATAAGCTACAAAGCTACAATCCCACCTTTAATTTTAACTTTTAGGGGATCTATTTTTTTTGACCCACTTAAGGTAAGAACTAAGAGAATTCTGAAAGCTTTTCCTATTGTTAGCCCTCTTTTAGCCACACAGAATACTTAACTGAAGGATACCCTGAGGTAGTGAGGGAAATTGTTAGGCAGACAAAAACCATCTCTAAAGTGTGTTAACACTTCATTTTAGCACTGGGTCTTACGCCCACCTTCCCCTGCCATTGCACTCTGCTACAGCCCTCACTTTGGTCTTCAATTTCATTGTGTCCACAATTCTACTGACCACACACCATCAGCTTTTTTCCCCCTCACTTTTACTGTTTATTGTGAGTTATCATTACAGTTACTTAGCCAATACCCTCAATACCTTAGCTGCTTTGTCTTTTTTTTTTTTTTTTTTTTTTTTTTTTGGGATATTAAAAACACCCATAGTTATTTGGGCCTTTTTTTTTTTTTTTTTTTTTTTTTTTTTTTTTTTTTTTTTTTCTTTTTTTTTTCTTTTTTTGCAGGTATATGAAAACCTCCAAGCTTGATGAGGCCTCTATTAGATTTCATATTAGTATTTTTGATGTTTTCTTGTTCCCAAGGGTATTTAGAAAATTACCTAAGCTACATGGATCTCAAAGCAGCTGGCCACAACTAAAGGTCAGTGGGGCAAGAAGGCTGTCACACTGTATGTACCTTCACAACCACTGATGTCCACAAAGCTTTGGTGCTGCCTGACCATCTGGCTTGCTCTCTACATCGATTTCCCTTTTTCAAGCATTTTTTTTTTTTACTTTCTTCAAACTTTGGACTACTGTCCCTCCCATGTCTTTGCCAACTCATAGCTGATCTGAAGGTGCTGTATTCATTCCACTCTTGCTTTCTTTTGAATGTGAGTGGCCTCTGCAACATCATCTCAGGAATGCTGCACCATTGCTGTTCTCTTCTCTTATATAATGTATAGTAACAGTTCCCTTCCCGGGTCTATCTTGCTCCTGGACATTTCATCCGACACCTACAGAGATTCTACCTAAAAAAAATCTTTTTCCAATAAGGATCTCTCTACTCACCATCATGATCCCTTTGCTCCTAAGTATGTAAAGCCCCAAACAAAGCCTCACAAACGAGTCACTACACATTCAATTAGAGTAAAAACAACAGTGGTAATGAACCGAATGTCACACACATAGCTGAATAAATTGTCTGGAGTCAGCAACACTTTTAGAAACAGCCCACAGGTATTACCAAATTCCACATGACTCCAAAACATCCTTTTTTACCCATTACAATGAAGAGCTCTGCTAAAACACTACAGCCAAGAGAAATAGAATTCTTTAGTGTTATTTTAATAATCAGTAAATCCGACAGCATGATTTTGTGCTACTAGGTCTAGATTAGAGAGGAGAGGGAGGAGGAAGCAACAAATGTCCCAGCTACAGCCCTTAAATTTTCTTAGGAGCTAAAAATATTGCTGGGCAAACCGAGAACCCTAAGTGACACTTAAGAAGTTTGACAGCATAGCTATACATTTTATAACAAATCGTTTCAAGGAGCCCGGACATTCCCACTCCTCGATCCCTTCACCTGCACTCAACAAGCAGTTCAAAGATGGTCCATAAAGCAGTTCAAAAACAGGATGGTTCCCTAATTCTGAGCTACTCTCCTGACAAATGTTTACATTAATTAAAGGGTTGGTGTCGCAGGTCTGGGTGAGAGAGAGAGAGAGAGAAACAGGGAGTAGGAAAAGAGGACTGGAGCTGAGAACCCTATCAGCGCATTCACCTGGGATACCCTTCGCAAATACGCCCCCCCTCTTTCGTGCGGGCACCCCCACACACAAACCCGCCTCCAGCTCCAGTGTTCCAGCAGGCAGTGCCGCTGGGGCTGCCTGCCACTCTAATGTGTTATTTAATTTTCTAAGTACTATTAAGACATCTCCAGCGTGTATATGTGTGTGTGTGTGTGTGTGTGTCTGCGAGTCTGTGTCTGTGTGTGTGCGCGCGCGTGCGTGTGCGTGAGATGCGCTGGAATGAAAGATGGTCCATAAAATGAAGTTTATTATTAGTATTATTATAGCTCCCGGGCCTAAAATAAAGCAAAGATTATAACCACATACTCTTCAAGGGGAAAAGGGGGGAGCCACAGCTAAGCAGCCTCCACCCGCCCCCACGCCGGCGCCG